AGACACTGCACAATGCAATACGACGAAGATGCTAGGCATCTCTTCAAACTAAAATGATAGTCACATCTCCAACTCGCAAACACTATCGACATCTTGTTTGCAGACATCGAAAGGTTACGAGATGCGAGGACTTGAGACTGAGTTGACTGAGTGATTTCATTGATTGCTAAGGATTTTTAATTATAATTAGTCGATTATTTCATTACTAGAATAAAAAGTTAACGATTTTTCCCAAACAATGCCCTCTCACTATTCACTTATTATAAATTTCATTGTGAAAATATTTCTATCACAAATAAAAACAAATGTTTGATTGAGCAGTGTATGCTAAGGAAGCGCATTTTCAGTTGTGCAGGAAAATGCTGAAATAAGACATGAGCCAAAATCATTCGCATATAAGTCCGACACCGAGTCAGCCAAAAAAAAAAATGCGCATAGGACACATGTTAATGCTGACGCTGAAGCTGACTCGCCTATAAAATAAAATCAAGGCCTTAAATAAACACCGGCTAAATTACCCCACCCCACCGGCCAAATAACCCTGCTGCTAACTCTGAAATAATTTGGCCGCTTTGCATTCCTTTGTAAAATGTCAAAATTCAGGTATAAGTAATTGCTCTACCTATCATTTTCAGTTTACTGTACAAGAAAGTCAAATCAATGCTAGGCTACACCTGCCAGCGTTGAGAGAGTGCAGAAATTATGTCGCCAGTTTCGAGCTACAGCTCGCTTCCTAAAAAAAGCGGCCAAATTACCCCATCCTCCTCGATGCTGCCCCCACACCGCACCTTGGCTTACCTACATAGACTCTCGTTCCTAGAAGGAATAAGTGGTGAGCGCCTGAACGGTATGCTGCGCCGCAGCACACCCGACTTAGATTCTCGTCCCTAGGTGGCAGTACCATAAACGCCTGATAGGTATGCTGTACCGCAACGCAGCCCAAGCTTCGATTCTCGTCACAAGATGGCAGCAGCGTTGAGCGCCTAAGAAGCATGCTGTCCCGCAGTGCTTTACGAGCGCCTGAACGGTATGCTGTCCCGCAATGCTTCAACCGACCGGCCGGCTCGGCCAGGGTAACATACGGCTCGGCGGCCGCGCGGCGCCAGCGCTCGCAATTCCTCGCTCTGTGTAATGTTGAATCCCACGGTGCAGGGTTGAGGTAAGCGACGGCACTGCCCATCTGGTCTTATCAGTCATGATAACCGATAGGTATCTATGATAGATTCGCTGCGTATCGGTCTTGCACCCTCCATATCCGCCCGAACATTCAATGAAAATGTCGTTTGCATAGAGGATTAGATTCTCTGTTCAGGATAGGTTACGGTCCGGACGCACCTTGTTACAGCTAAATAAGTAGACATAAGCCTTAATCGTTTTTGGCTGAGCACAACCCTTTTGAGTTTGACTCATTCCTTTTACTATTGGGAATGCCTTTCAGAATGTTTTTTCTTCTTCTTCTAAACAAACATATTTATATCTCCAGCCTTTTAGCTCACGTATGGGCGCTGTATCCATTTCTTTGCTGTGGATGTTTTTGGTTATACACATAAGAAAACTCGACTTCATTTCTAGTTATTTATCTCTTCGGTATCTGATACGAGACTTATAGCATAGTGCATGCTACTTGTGTAGACTTTATTAGTTTATTATTTGTACCATTTTTCCGTTATTGGTGTACGTTTGACATAGCAAACGAGTGAAAGCGGCTTTTCGGGAGAAAATACGACAAAATGCCAACAGACATTAACACGTATTACATGTATTTTAGTCAGCCCGCACCAAACAGAAGACAAGCTGCACCTCCCACTAACCGTATCAAGATGTACGTTCAAAACAGTTGCCTTGGAACAATAGTTCCAGGAGGGCCTGGTTTTTCTAAACATTTCCACCGAAATTCCGTTAACATTCTATCGCACGAGAATAATAAATTGTGGTCAAAGTCCGCCACCGCGCCGGTGTAATCATATCAAATGAAACAAACCGTTTCAATGTGAGCTGCATGCGGTGCTATAGTTCGTTTTTCTTAAGTTTGCCCCTCACTGTAAACGTCGTTTTGAACACAGCACGAGAATTGCTAGCTGAATTACTGAGAAAACTGGTTGGCGCACATTGATTTCACCAGATTTCACAGACGATCAATTTCATCAAATTTGTTTACTATTTCACAGACTCATAGCTCGTAGTTGCCCATACCTACAGTTCCACAGTGATAGACGACTTCTCAGGAATTATGTCTGAACTATTTTATAAATTGCACGGCGTTTAACATTAACGTTACATCGTCTGTGCTCAAAACTTATTTTGAAAATATTATTCATATCTCCAATACATTGTGCGCCAACCAGTTTTCTCAGTAATTCAGCTAGCAATTCTCGTGCTGTGTTCAAGAAGACGTTTACAGTGAGGGGCAAACTTAAGAAAAACGAACTATATCACCTTCAATACACACCAAAACACTACTAAGCATATTGTGCCGCACATATTGCTTGTTATTACTGGCTGTTATCTCACAGAACATCTCCACAATGAATTTTGGTATTTTTCGGAACTGACGTTTTTCACGGTGTTGGACGGTCATCTGGACCTCAAATTTTCAAACAAGAAAATGGTCCACAACATTAACGACTGCTCAGACCAAGCAGCCTGCTAGTCATCCTTCAGTTCGCCATACTCGCAGTTCAACACGGTACACAACAGCCTCTAATGGCATCCATACTAGCATGCCTAACTTGCATTTCATTTCCCGAAACAAAATAATCGTCTGAAGCCAACACAGCTAACCATTGCAATTGCTGAAACTAACCAAAGTACAGTGCACAAAAATGGAAGAACTCCACCTTTCAAACCAATTATTATCAGTTGTCATAAGAGCAAACACACATCACCCACTGCTGACCGCTGACCGAAAACTGGCCACTGTCGCGGACCTACTCGGTCCCGTTGGCCGTGGTCTGTCTTGTCAGATAGTTCAGGTCGTCGTCGATCCCCCAAAAGTCACCGGTGTGGAGCAGTGTGCGGCTGGTCCCGTCCGAAGGCGTATGTTCGGATGCTCTCTTCAGGCAACCACCATCATATCGAGAGAGGTGCCACAAGCCATCTGTGCTCGCTCCACTGTGCCCGGGGCGTCTGGAAACAAGACAGGATGTTACACAACACTGCCGACAAGAGAGCGCCAGAAACTAAATAGGTAGGCATTATCTCCTTTCTTTTTCCAAACAAAATTGGTTCACCTGTAGCTACATCTACTATGAATACATCCTTCAAATCCCAATGAATAGCTACAGGCACATCTCGTCGGATTATTGTCCAGATGCATCCCATTACGTACCGAAGTCGAACCAGGCGGCGTCTCCGGCGTCGTTCCTGGCGCTGGCCACAGCCTCTCTCAGTGCGAACAGACACGCGCTGGTCATACACAGAGGCGGCTCGCCGGTGGCTGAAAATACACATATACTGGTCATACAGAGAGCTGGCCAAACGGATAGCGCTGGTCATACAGACTGGCGGCTTGTCGGTAACAGCGAACGGACACACACAATCACATTCACAAAGACTGGACAACCAATGTTTCAGGGTGTTAAGGCGATATAATAACAATAATGCCGTTTATTTCACACCATCATTGGTGCATACAAGACCCAGCGTTCCACCAATGAAGTACCGTTATACATCCGTACCTTTGGAGTTGAACACGCCAATGTCGTTCTTGTTGTTCTTCAAGAATTTCACTCTGAAGTCACGAGGGATGTCCTTCAACGTTGGTACGTAGTAGTTCTGAAAATGGAGATCAAAGAAGACATGAAAATCATACATCCTTTCAGCGAACAAATAAATCCATATTTAGCCCCACTGTAATTTATCCAGACCAATACAATTTTATATTTTCAAAACAAATGAAATGTCCTTACCTCCATTAATGTTGAACATTCCCAAAAGGAAAATGTTGTGCCATAAAACAGCTACATATTTGCACGAGACACTGTGAATCCCCTTTCGATTCCGATAAAAATACCACCGTCAATGCCAGCGACCATTCCCGTGCTCTTTCCACCCCTCCCCCCCCCCCCACTGACCCAGGTACGGTTGGTGAGCCGTTTCCCGGTGTCCGGATGGAAGCGGTGGCGTTCGGTCATGAACAGGCCCAGTCCCATGACGAACGCTCCCTCTGCCTGTCCAATGTCGACCCAGGGCGACAGTGACTGTCCGGCATCCTCATAGAGGTCGACGCGTCGGACGCAGTTCTCCCCAGTGAGCACGTCCAGCTCGAGTTCCACAGCCGTCAGACCGAACACGTTGTAGGTCTCCGGGCGGCGGCGGGAGCTGGCAGCAGAGCAGAGCGGCGTTAGGGAGGACAAAGCAGTGGTTAGTGACGTTAGAGACAGCTGAACGAGGTCCGAGAGAGGAGTAACCAGCATAAAAAGGGAGAAAGGAACGGAGGGAGATCGGGTGATACAAGAACGGAACGATAAATCAAGGGACTGATGAATTCAAATTGTAAGTGCAACAAGACATGAAAACACAGAGTAGAGCGAGGTGTGAACACAATAAGTAAGGTTTGACATATCGTCAAAGTAATGTTAGAGTTTATCATTCAACAGAAGAAAGAAGTTTCTTTCAATACTGATTGTGTACGTCTGCTCTGTAGCAGCAGACAGCGCTGAGAGGCGATCCCTTACGCGGAGTGGGCGCTGAGGTTGACTCCCGCTCCGGAGGCGCTGGTCACCACCTGAATCCAGGCTTTGTCCTCGCCTTGGAACGGCTTAAGACGCAGCTTCAGCTCCTGACACGCGTCCCGCACCGCCTGTGAGCCCAGGGCACAGTGTCACAGGAGTCAAATACGAGTCACACACCAACCACTGAGATCACCGGTCGGTCACAACTCAGATCACTGAGGTCACACGCGTCACACTTAACACATGTTACATGTTATTATTATCACATATGAGCCACATTCACGAATCACTTGAAGCAGGTAGGAGATGCACAAAGAGCAGACCGCACGGATCACTCTCGCTACAAGGGCCACGACCCATTACCGTGACAAGCCACAAGGACCGATATCTAAGAACGCTCTGTTCCTTTACTAAGCACCAGGTTCCAGATCTAGGCCCGCCCTGTTTCTATGCCGGCCGCCAGGACCGATATCTAGCCATGCTCGTTTTTTGGGCCTCCAATACCGGTATCTCACGACTCACCATGCAGGACATCTCGCTGCCGATGCTGCCGCCGGTGGGGGAGGCGTTGGGGCTGATGAGGTTGTCAGACGGCTTGACCGACACCATGTCCAGCGAGACGCCCAGCTCGTGGGCGCACACCTGCGCCACCTGGAGGCCGAAACGGGAAACGAATTATCACTGGTGCACAGGAGTCAGGAACTATGCTGCTGCCGCCTGGCATGATACGACTCGCATGACACGTATAAGGATCAGTACGCTCTCTTTGCAATACGATTGCAAGCTTTATAATTCAGTCTTTGACCAATCTCTATTCATCCATAGAGACTACACATACCTTGGTGTTGAGTCCCTGGCCCATCTCTATGCCTCCCACGGAGACGGCCACCGTGCCATCCAGGTCGTATATGGAGACCAGCGCCGGGTATTTGGCCCACAGGTGGACCGGGTAGCGGAGCGGCACCAGAGACAGGGCACGCTTCTTCCAGCGGTTCGCCTGGGGGGGGGGGGGGGGCGTCAGTCAAGGAGTTGAGCACAGCAGTGAGGGACGACGACGTCTTAATGCCTAGGTCTCGCTCGATCTACAATAATTCCATCAAGCTTTAATGATAAACTAGCCAATAAGTATTTTATTCAAATTAAGTTTAACTTTAATCGTTGCACATGCCGCTCACCTGGTTGAAGGCGGCGATGTCGGCCTTTCGCTGCTGGATCTGTCCCTCAGTGAACATTTCGTCGATCATCTGGGTGAAGACGGCATGGTCCGCCTCATCGCTTGCGCTGAGTCTGTGGTGGAGAGCGGGTCATTCGTCAATCCAAGAGCCGAGTAGGGCGAGGTAAACAATCAGCAGGTGACACGGTCCATCGCTGCTTACGTACACCAACAAATGTAACTCCCACGCTGTAAAGCGACGACCAATTAGCTTCACTCACGCGAACTTGGTGTCCGGCTTGAAGAAGTTGGCCTTGCGGACCTCCCACGGGTCCAGCTTCAGCTCGTGAGCGATCCTCTGCATCACATTCTCAATACCAGCCACACCTTGGGTGGTGCCTGAGGACACATGAGGACATCAGGAATGCTGTATGTAAAAAAGTTCTCAGTAGAACACCACAAACGATACACAACAACGAACAACAACAACGAACACCACAACAGCTTTCCACCAACCAAAATGTAACAAATTACGATACACATCCCTTTGGTATGCGGTTAGCTACACGGCAGACAGACGTTACCATGCATCATATCAAATTACAATGTGGCCTAATAACAATCTTCTAGTATATGTCATCAACATCCAAACACCTTCCGCACACCCCGCCACTCGTTTCGCTTTCACGAAACCTACCTGGGCTGCGGCACCAGGTGTTGGCCGCCAGGTCGGTGTTGACGTGTCCCGGAACCACGGTCCAGTTGGTCGCCTGGTACACATTCTGAGCCATCGACACAGCTGAGAAGGTGGTGGTGGCAGACGAGGCGAACCCGGCGTCACACAAGTAGCGCATCTTCAGGCCCTGCACCTTGCCCGTCTCGTCCACACCAGCCTGCAAAAGGATGTGGAGCGAGAGTGAAACTGAGTACGCTTTACGTCCAATAAAATTCGTCAACAGCGACTATTAAGTAGCATTGTTGCAGCTTTGCTGGAGGAAAAGCAGCCCAACGAAAGAAATTAAAAAAAAAACAAGTAAGAAAAAAATTAACTGAGAATGACGCCCTATATTATACTCCAGGTGTTCACAAGATGGAGCAGCAGCCACCCGCCATACATACCCGACCAGGTATTACAGCCATTTACCTTATACTCGACCAGGTAGGGCAGTCGTCCTCCGAACATCTCCATGTTGGCCTCCACGTCGAGCACGATGCGCACGGGACGGTTGAGTTTGACGGCGGCCAGAGCCGCGCCCGCTGCGACCGTGGTCGGGTAAGCCAGCTTCCCACCGTAGGCACCGCCCAGTCGACGAACGGAGACGTTAATCCTGGAAATTAAACATATTTAAACGAAATGGATCACCAACGAACCGATGAATGAATGAAGTCAACACGAGCAAGACGGATTGCGGCTGAAATGCATCAGGTAAGCAATTGAGCAACGATAAAGAGGATGATTCGTTTCAGACAATAATAGTTTATCACGAGTGTAAATACTAGCGTCTTAAACTTCAAACTAGATATGTCGTCTACGATGCTTATCATATCTCAAATTCCTTGTCAACTGCGCGGTTTTTGCCACAGTTTGTTCTTACTTGTGTGCGGGCATTTTGAGGACCTTGGCCACCGTGTGGTGGGTGTCTCGGATGTCCTGGGTGGCGCTGAAGAGGTCCAGCTGGTCGTCCTCCCTCGGCACAGCGCGCACCGTCTGCGTCTCCATGTAGAAGTGGTATTGACCACCGATCTGGAACTCACCACTCAGCTGGCGAGGCGCCGCGGCGATCGCCTCTGCGGGGGACGGAGGGAGGGCAAAGGTCAGAATAGAGAAGCAGTATGCAATGATAGCATAAATTACATGTAAACGTATTATAATATAAGGCATAATTAACCGTGCATGTCAACTGTTTCTATCGTATCTAACATACCGTAAAGTGGGGCTATTTGAGACAGTGGGGCTATTTGAGACAGTATTTAAAATCGCTATAAAATGAAGATCGTTTGATTTTTATGTGATATTTTTGCTCAGGAAGGTGTGGAATCGAACAGCAATTCGCCTGAGCAAAAATTAAGCATAAATTTCAAACGGTTTTTATTTTATAACAATTTTAAATACTGTCTCAAATAGCCCCACTGTCTCAAATAGCCCCACCTTACGGTAGCTACAAAGTCACATTTCAACAGACAAACTTCATGGACCATCTGGCGGCACCGACTGCCACCCAGCCGGTCAGGTCAGGTTTCCCTTTAACAAGTCATGTCAGGCCAGGTCACCGTCCTTACCGTCCACGTTCTCTCCCGTGTTTATCTCCAGATGCATCATCGTGTCTGGTTTGATTTCCTGACCATCTGCGATGGCCTCTTTGATGGTCAGAATCGGTCGCTGTACGTCCTCGTACTGGACTGTGACCAGTGCTGCCGCCCGGCGGGCAATCTCGGGACTATCGGCCACCACTCCGATCGGCTGACCGCAGTACTTGACTTTGTCCGAAACAAACAGCTGCGGGCAGGAAGACGAGAGGCGAGAGCGTTATGGAAGTGCTCAGGGACAACAGGAAGGTCTGCAGAATGCACACATGCAAAATGAATGCGTTGATAGATTGCACAACATCACCTTGTTGCAGCATATTATGCAAAACAAACGAGAAGTCAGAGAGATAGCTATCTGGCACAAAGCATAAGGCTGGGAATTAGTTCAGGTCTACGTATCAGAGCCATTACCTCCTCCGGGTTCTTGTCACCCTTGATGTTGTTGGTTCCATCGACATCCTTGGCTGAGAAGAACCCTCTCACTCCATCGAGCGCCTAGAGCAGAATATAGGATTCAGTTAACATTAAATTATTTAGGGGAAAAAAGCAAATCACGAAACATGTATTTGATCGTTTTAAACGTTTCAGTGCCGATGCTCTGTTCAGTTCAGCTTGAATATCGTACAATCATCACATCATAACACGTAGTAGTCATTCAACACTAGAAATGGGGTATAACGTCCAACAAAGTTCAGCACATCTGGTGCCTTGCTTTCTCCGTCCTCGCCTACCCACGCATCAGACGATGCGCCGCCAGGTCACCGAGGTCACTCACCAGAGCGGCCGAGGCGTCCACACCCTTCAGCTTGGCCTTGGCCACGGTGCTGATGACGAACGCGCCGTGCAGCTCGTCAGATAGTGCCTCCTGATCGTTGATGTATTCCGCCTCGCCTGTCGACCACACACATTCGTTAGAGTGCGTGTTACGGTATAACGCTTCGGACTGTATGCGTTACGTGGCGGCTTGACTCTTGACAGAATCGTTTGAGAAGGCTACAAAGCAGGAGTTATGGGCCAGACAAACTTGAGTTCGTGAGCCTTTTAGAGATATTATTGGTGAAGGACGGAAACAACGAAAGGTACTCGATGAATCGATTGTGGTGGACAAAATACCTACTTAGTGATGTTAATAGGACGTAAGAGTTAACATATTTTAGAAATCACGTAACAGCGTGAGTGTTGATAAGCTGTTCCTCAGTCAGAACTACTTACCGGCGGTCTGCGCCTGCGCCTCGAGCTTGGGTACCGGCTGGTTGACGGGCCACAGGTCCTTGTCGGTGTCGAACTTCTGTGAGCCCACCACCGGCGGTCGGGTGATGTCCTCGCCCCCAGAGCGGAGGTGCTCCGGCAGCCGGTCACCGAGCGTGTACAGAATCACCTGGTGTGTGGGAAAATGCATCAGATTAACAGTCAGACAAGGGCAATCTTTCTTTGTTTGCATGTTTACGTCGCATTTACAACGGTAAAACGTAAATTTATAACGATTATAACGCATTCCATTTATTTTCAACGAAACTTTAAGTAAGTATGTGGAATACTAACCCAATAGTGCGATTGATGGATGATATATTCACTCATCACTATCTTTGGGACCCGAGCAAAGTATTATTGGACCCCTGCACTCAGTACATGACCTCCATATTCTGACTTCCGTCCACCCTCTGAGCCGCCCCACATTCTGACCAGTTTGACGTCTGCCCCCATCTGACCCTCTAAAATCTAAAATCTAATATCTGACCCGCCCCCTCTGACCTTGTAGAGGAGGCTGGTGGTGAGACTGGCGCGGTATTCGGTCGCCGACAGCTCTGGGTCAGCGTCAGGAACCACCTCTGCTTGTAACGCCGCCAGTGCGCCGCTAACCGTGGCGGCGTCCAGCAGACTTTTACCCGTGAGGAATTCCTCGGTAGCAGACGCGTGCACCTGAGAAGAATGATGTCAGAGTGACGCATCAGCAGGCAGCGACACAAAGAAAAGTAAGCGGAGACAGAACAAATGTTTGCAAAGACGGACACACAAAGACGTGATGTGATACTATGTGGACAGTGGACACACCAACATACTAATATTTACACACATACAACACTACAGTTTCTGTATTTACACACGGTAATGGGATTACGTGAAAACCAAGACAACTAGTTTACATTCTTAATTGGCACTTCGGTGCTTATTGAAAGGCTATAGAAGGCGAGGGTTCGATAAGTAGAGCTGAAGGTTGCAGCCTTCATCCTATATTTAGCGCGTACTTCAAATCAACTTCACGATTCCTGACCTTCAGCTATAAGGTTCGGTGCTTTTTGTCAGTTTATTCGGTCAGTTATCTCAAGTAGAAAATCATAGCTATACATACACCTTCCGGGCCGGTTTGGGACCGTCAAAAGGCCATACTCAGTACTCACAAACGTCTTGCTGATGCCACCGAACAGAAGGGTGGGTTTCTCCGTGATAGTCATCGTGTCCTTGTTGACCGGCAACAGGAAAGCAGCGTTCACATAGGCGTGGGCGCTGACGGCGCGGGGCGTGACCTGCCAACACGGACGGCGGTGTGGTCAGACCCTCGGCAGCACAGCGACGCGCTTTAGGTGTCACTGTTTCACCTCAGGGGGAAAAAAAGCGAAATCAGGGCAGTTTAAGACAGGACGTTGCAAAATCGTACCTATGCTACAATAAATACCAACGATTGCTGATTTAAATGGCAACTAGCACCCACGGGCAGACTGCTTATTGCATGTATGTAGCATGAAAATATATAAATATCTAAGTCTAAACACACCGGAGAGTCCACATCAGCGTCTAGTGCCTACCTTGTACGTCTTGAAGATGTAGTTGTCGTCGAGGGCCGGCAGCTTCAGGGAGACGATGACCTTGCGGTTCATGTCGATCTTGAAGAGGGTTTCTACATCCATCTCCTCAGCAGCTCCCTGTGCGTCCGCTATAACAGGGAGAGGGAGTACATCGCGGGTTAGGGAGCACAGGAGACAGGTCAATGGAAAAGACTATGAAAGGAAGCACACTACTTGCCCAATCGACATTTCACACTGAAGGAGTAAAACGGCCGTTGATCACGCAACACATGGACACTTGCCACCAGGGCCTATTGTGTAGAACCCTTCCTTTTCACTGGGCCATGGAACAACCGTTCCAACAAGCACCAGCTGCTTCCCAGGTCCCGGGCTAATTATTTTCATTTTTCAGTATTTTATAGACGGGCGTCCCATCCACCAACCCACATAAGGGACATAATATATCGACCTCCTATCGACCATCCGCCACTCACCGACCACAATTTTGGCGCGGGCGGCTGTCAAAAGAAGGAACACGTCCGACGGGAACTCGCGGTGCGCGTGCTTGATCATCAGGTTGCCGGCCCAGCTGCCCATGTTCCTAACAGGCGTGTTAGCCACCAAAAGAAGGTGGGAGGCCATCTGACGACAGTGAGCGAACCCGGCGGTCGGCGCCAGAAGCTGTAGTTCCTCGATCAGCCGCGAGAGGGTTACAGCGCCGCCGAATGTGGCCGCCTCGGCCGTCTTAGAGACAGCGTGCAGCTCAGGCACTTTGAGTGTTGAGATGTACGAGTCGAATGGTCCGTCATGCTTGTAGACGCCTGCCAGTCAGAGACGGGGTGGTTAGGGGGAGGGGTAGCAGTGGCCCTCAGCGTCTACAGCGGCTATTGAAAGCCAGGGTCAGCGGGGCAGACGCGCGGGCACGGCCTCATCATAAGAACCGAGACGTAAGCAGCACGGATGGTCATGGCCGTAAACAGCAACACCCATCACATGACGACATTATTGACTATACACTGGACCTGGATGGTTTGGTTCTGGAGACTATCAAAGCTCGCCGTCACGACCAGCTCCATAGTTTACAGCGCTAGAACGTTCGAGATCTGGTTAACTAAGTCACTCTGCCAGTCATTTAACCAAGCGTTGGAAGATTGCAAGATGTTTGCCGTTACCGATAGATACGCTATCGGTACTGGGCTACGAGAACGGAGATATAGGTAGCAGTATCGGTAACGGACCCTATTGCTTACGATAGAATCCGGTCGCAAACATCGCTTAGTAGTCAGTATTCAGTATTCCGTGCCTAGACATTATAGCTGATCGGTGACTTTATCACGTTTCATTGACCTAACCGAGATATCTTACTGTCACACAACTGAGCCCGGAATCGGACTTTTTTTGTTCCGTTTGTAATTAACCCCCACAGCTGTCAACCTAGTCGAACGGAGAGTTAGCCTTCAATCCAGGCCTTTACAGTCCAAACACCTGACTGCTCGTTACAGCAACTGTCATTTGAGAGCATTAGCCTGACCTTTCTGTAGTTATCAATACCCCACGGCATGCAGCGTGAGCTGTGAACCCACCAGAGCCGGTGTTTCCTGTCACCAGTCTCAGTGTCCTGCCGCGCGGCACGGCTGCCATGGCCGCGTACAGCTTGGCCAGGCTCTCAGGGAGCGCCCACTGCGCCTCCCCAGAGGACATGGGCAGCGCGCGGGGACAGCCGGCGCACCGCCCGCCGCCCCCGCCGCCGCCACAGGCGCCACCCGACTGAGACTTGCAGCCGGCCGCCTCCTGTGCACGAGAGAGAGGCACCGTCAGTCGGGGAGGCTTTACGAGGACGATATTAAAGTCCAGGTAAAAAGCAGACAATTACAGTAGGACAGGGAGGGAAATTTTAAAAGGTTGCATAGACCATTCTAAGCCCAGGAACAATATGTTTCGGTGAGCTCGCGTGAACTTCAGAGTACTGGCGCTATGAAAGGGCGAATTCCACGCGATTTGATAACAAGAGTCGCGTGGACTGTGGAGTAGAGAGATTGATAATATCGTATCCGGGGCGCGGGGTATATTGACACTTCTCTGAGGCCATTGATAACGGTAACAGCGCCACGTTATGAAAGCACCTAAGTTCCTAGCGGTCACCATTATGTGGCGATATGAATGAGATACGATACACATAATGCACTCGTTTCGTACCATTGATTAAAGTATCAGTAGGGACATGCATTTTTTATCCAACTATACGAACCCGTGTCCGAGTTACAGAATAACTTAAAACTTAAAAGCTTTAGGTACGAAAGCCGAAAATCAGCCCAGCAGCGATGAGGACGTCAAACGGCGTTCAATTACATCAAGCACGGTAAACTGTCAATTAAATCAAATTTCACACGGACGCGGTCACGCAGCGCCCTCCTAGACCCAATTATGCAGCAGCCAAACCAAATATCCAGTAAATGGCAATAGCAAAGCTGCGTCATACTAATTGGCTCACCTCGATATCTTTGACCATATCCTTGGTCTTTTGATCGGCGTCAGCTCCGAACGTTTTGAAGGCGTCCAGGATGGGCCGGTAGCCGGTGCAGCGGCAGAGGTTGCCGTCCATGGCCTGTTCGACGTCCTCCTTCGTCAGCGTGTCCCGCGACTCCAGCAGACTGTGGAAGGCGGTGACGGAAGAGATGTGTCAGAGCGACAGCAGCTGGGTGATACTGTATACAATACTAGTTAGAGATACCAATGGGTAGACAGTTGCATATCGGATACGAATGCAATGAAGCGCTGGAAATGGTACCTTTCGTTTATGCTCAAAGCATAACAGGAGGGCGAGGAATAGCCAATGAGTCGCAGTTTTCGAACAAAAGCTTGGCGGAACGATCATACACCTGCCTAGTGCAGTCAACCACGACCAACCGTGACGACCAACATTAACCATGTGAATGTTTCCACCATGCGATCCGCTGTTTACCTGTACATGGGCATGACCATTCCTGGACTGCAGTAGCCGCACTGAGCGTAATTACTGGTCCATTACCTGTACATGGACATGACCATTCCTGGACTGCAGTAGCCACACTGGGTGTAATTACTGGTCCATTACCTGTACATGGACATGACCATTCCTGGGCTGCAGTAGCCGCACTGAGCGTAATTACTGGTCCATTACCTGTACATGGACATGACCATTCCTGGGCTGCAGTGGCCGCACTGAGCGTAATTACTGGTCCATTACCTGTACATGGACATGACCATTCCTGGACTGCAGTAGCCGCACTGTGTTCCGTTCAGCTGTGCCAGTCGCACCTGGATGGGGTGGTAGCCGTTCTTGCGGTCACCGATCGCCTCCACGGTCTTCACCTGCGATCAGTGACATTGAGACGTGTCAACAATTAAACGACATATTGTAAAGAGGTAAACAAAAACGACGAAGGTGGTGAGAAAAGGAACGTTTAGGCGACGTTAGGTTTAAGAAAAATAAGTCACCAAAAATCTCATTGAAGAACTTAAGTGCAAAAAATGAGTGACTGCCAAAATGAAATAAATACATAAATACTATTTCGGTAAGAAAAATTCGGTTGCGCGGTCTGGCAAAGGCTCTCGTTACCTGCCAGTCCTGACAGACGTGCAGCGGCACCAGGCACGAGTTGACCGCCTTGGTTTTCATCACGCCGGTCGTCGGGTCGGGCACCCTCACCGACACCACGCAGGCGCCGCAGCCGCCCTCGCGGCACATGGTCTTTGTGCCGGGCAGGCGGCGGGTGAAGCGCAGGTAGTCGGCCAGTGAGGTGGTGGCTGATACGTCCCCCGAGGCGCCGTCCGGGGATAGACGGTGTAGCACTGAGGGTGCAGGGTCAGAGTGAGGTCAGGTTGGGGTCGGTTTGTGTCAGGTGAGAGGTCAAGTCACGGTCAGGTCAGGGTCAGAAGTCAGGGTGAAGTCAGGGTGAAGCCAGACAAGTGTGAGGTCAGGGTCAGATCAGGGTTAGGTCAGGGTAAGGTCAAGTGAAGTTAGGGCGAAGTCAGGGTGAAGTCAGGGTAAGGTCAAGTGAAGTTAGGGCGAAGTCAGGGTGAAGTCAGAGTGAAGTCAGGGTGAAGTCAGGGTGAAGTCAGGGTGAAGTCAGGGTGAGGTCAGGCTCAGGGTGAAGTCAGGATGAGGTCGGGGTAAGGGCAGGGGAGGTCAGAGTCACGCCAGGGTCCTGGTCATCTTAGAGCCAGGTCAGGTTCAGTGAGGGTCAGGTCAGGTCATGGCATGGTTACTGGTTAGGTCAGGGCTAGAGCAGGGTTAGGACAGAGTCTGGGCAGGGTCAGATCGGGGTTACGTTGGGGTCAGGGAAGGGTCAAGACAGGGCGGGCCAGGTCGCAGGTCGTTGTCAATATTGCAGAGAATAAAGCATATTGCTTTCCTAAAAATGATAAAATAAATCAAAGATGCCATAATGAATTAGCTAATGCGACTTAACTAAAAATATCGGTGAATATCTATAACCTTTGATACCTAATGTTTACCTAATGTGCAGTTACCTAATGTTTAAGTGTTAAATGTTTGCGTATGACCTTAACGGCTGAAATAAATATAACGTGAAGTAAAATAAAACGCGAGCAGGACAGTCGGACACAAATAACGATGAGACACACGGGACACACCGACAAATACTTATTGGACCATTATCATGCCTATTGACGCAATTGTTGATAACGTCTCATCATTCACCTGCCAGGTTCTTTTGAACGATTTAGGCGGTCGTGAACCACGAATGGAGTTTTTAGTCATTACACAGTCAGGCATTCAATAAACCCGGCGGCTGAATGCATACAGTCTGCGACTCTGCTCGAAGGAGACGGTATAAAGCGGACCGAAGTAGAGCTCTTTCAGCCCACCGTCCCTCCGTATATGTTTTAGGGCCTTGGAACAGACGAGGAGCGTCCGGCCCGGCCGGTCCGCGACGTCTCTCAATATACCCTGCCGGCCGGCTCGCCCGACTGGCCTTGAAGACATCCCTCGCGCCGCCGCATAGCACCATGGCATTATGCCGCGCCCGGGGCTATCACAGTGACTCGCAGATTCACAGGCTGGCAACTCGGACAGGACAATCACTTCAGCGGGGGGGGGGGGGAATAAGGCAATAAGACGGTCCAGGGTCTACCGAAAGCAAACAACGTGACACTGAGAACGCATGAGAGACGTGTCTACTACGGACGATGGGGGGCGGGGAGGGTGGAGTTTTTCCTCATAGGAAAGTCAGAAGCCGAGACGTTACGGATTACGAATCTGTCAGGTGCACTGACCTTTCTGCGGCTCATCGTTGATGGTGAAGGTGACGGCCGGTGACTGAACGTCAGAGGTCGGCATGGTGACCCGCTGTGCCGACGGTAGCCGAGGTCAGAGGTGATGGCCGATCAGGTCACGCGCAGGCTGACACTGAAAAATGGCGACCGTTTGTCAGTTAGACAGTCGTAGCAATATCTCAGCAGGGGTCTAGCGAGGTGACCAATACAGCGAGTGATTGAGGCACACAATGCCAATGGCGATGGACCTATACATGGGTCGTAGAACAGTCAGCGACATAAAGGCTGCGACCGTTTACTTTTATATACCGTTTTTACCCGTCAGTAGGTCTTTTCGTCCACGGCAAGACGCACTGGATTCGGCCCAGTTTCGGGACACCTCGAATCAACTTCAAATTCGCACACAACAGCATTTGGGGTGGAGCACAGCATAATCTTGGGATAGCGATAGCAACATGACCGAATTCATCGGGCAGTGCTCCAGGCTATTTGAACTAGATAAGGTCAAACAATGACCAAGGACCCTAAACCAATGACTTTATCTCGACATAGGCCATACGCTCGCTTTTCTGCGCTCGATCAGGGACCGAACGGCTGGGTCCGATATATTCGATATACATATGTATAGCCTTGAGCAAGGCTGCGGAGTCGGAGTCGGAATCGGAGTTGTCGGAGTCGGAGTCGGAGTCGGAGTCGACAAAATCTTACCGACTCTGACTCCGGAGTCGGAGTTAACGCTCCATGGCTCAACGCAATGCACGGCGCCTGTTTGATTGACGATACTGCACTCAAAATTATATTTTTTCGAAAAAAGGCAATTTTGCTGTTTTGGACGAACGTTTTCAGCGAAAGAAGCAGCAGACGGTGAATGCTCCAGAACCCGCTTTTTAATCCTGCATGTTATTTTTAATGCATATTTGCAACGCAAAACCTTGGAACGCTCAAATGGGATCGTTTCAGGCAAAATAAAAACCTCTCAATTATGAACTTTAACCCGCGCCCCGCTGGGGGGGGGGGGGCAGAATCTGCCCCCTCCCGTTTTTCGCCAACAACTTCTAAACGCGTTACGCCAGCAACATCAAACTTTCAGTACCTTATCATATATCAATTTAAGACGTTCCTGCAAATTTGAGTGAAATCCGTCGGAAATTTTTGAGAAAATGACGTTTTAGTGACGTTCATGTTCGCCATTTTCGCCTCAAAAACGGCAAAATTTCAAACGTCGCTAACATCTTCATTTTTTTAAGGAATCCAGACGTAATAAAAAGGTTATACGTGATTCTACTTTGTCTATCAAATGGCGATCTCGGTTAAAAAAAAAATAGACTTTGGCCCAATTTTTTTTCTTTAAAAAAACTAACTTTCTTTTGGAAAATAATTACCTATAAAATCCAAAATTTTGAGTGTATCGAAAAAACCGGAATATATGTCAGTGAAGTGGTCTATGTGCACCTACATACCAATTTTTAGAAGAATCGGTTCAAAAATGTGGGAGTTATTCAAAATTTTATGACGTCACGACACACACACACACACACACAGAATGTTTATTAAAACCCTCGCCCGCACATGCCATTTTCCCATCCTAGAACGCACATGGGGGGGGGGGTTGCCATCCCCCCCGCGCCATTTCGTTCCTGTTGGAGATAGAGCTTAGCGGTAAAGACCAAAAAGATTCTTTGGGAAGAGACGAATCCAATGATACCCAGTTTTACCTTCTCAGGTCAGTCATTGACCTTCCAGGTCAGGTCAAACTAAAAAATGTTGCTGTTTTGGGTCACCGTTGGATATCAAGTGCGCTACTTATCATATACCGATGACGATGCTGTTTTCTGGTGCCAAGCCAGCTAGAACCTCTTTGTCACACTACCCGACCAGATTTTTGTTGCTGAGGTCATTTCAGGTCAAGTTAGGTCAAGGTCAATTATGTGTTTGTATGTCTGTGTGTGTCTGTGTGCATACTGATGTGTGCACAGATTGTTTTTGTGTCCATATTACATGAAATCATGATCGACTCCGGAGCTTTTACCAAAAATGCAGTCAAAAAACTTCACAAAAAGTAAATTTCGCTTGCCCAAAACGCAATTATCTTGGATGACCTAGGTTGACCTTGACCTTGACATATGTACATCGTCGAACAACATGTTCCATGATAGGTGGGAGGTAAGACTGGCAAAAAAGGCCGAAATCAAGGTGTCAAAAGCTCACAAGACCCATAGCCAAAGCAAGATATTGGGTATTTGTCATATGGGTTATGGCATCACCTGAAGAATAAGGTCACATCTCCGAAACCAAAAACCACAGAAACTTGAAATTTTCAGTGGACATCAAGAAAGGATAGAGGAGCAGCTATACCAAAAATCAGCCTCCTAGCTCTAAAAATGTTGAGTTCAGAGCAGAAAGACTACCTGGGGGGGGGGGGCAACCACCCCCCCCCCCATGTGCGGGCGGGGGTAATCAACACGTATTACCAAAAAGAGAAACGTAAGTAGAAAACAAATAGTTATAAGGCGTTTCGAAAAAATAATACCAGATTGGTGCAAAAGCGCCAAGCGCTTAATTATAGGCACCTCTGTAAGGGAAATGAAATTAATTGCTGCTAATCACAACGCCGCCGCCAACCCGGTCACCGATGAGCGGTTGGGATGAATGCAGACCGCGCGCCGGCCCGCGGGGACAGCACCAAGGTCACCGATTGAAAATCAGTGAAATACGAAGGTTGATTTTAAAGAAAATCAACAATTAAAAAAAAGTTTTTTAACGTTCTAGACCTCGTACGGAAACAAGAATAGCACCATTCGATACACCGTGAAAAACTGCATCAGATAGACACCTTTTTAGGCCTTAACAACCAACTTCAAAATTTGACCTCACTTGACCCGACCTTGACCTGACGGCTGACCTCGACCTGAAATTCATCCAGAGGTGGTCCACATCACTTATTGAGTGTGCCTATTGAATTCTATGAATACAATGAGCCATAACCATGTGTCGCACATGCTCTTTTCTGTATTTTGTTTTTGGTGACCTGACCTGACCTGACCTTGACCTTCGAATGATATTGATGATATTGCATGCAACGAATATTGTCTTGGTAGCCTAAGAACACGTTTTGGGCAATCAGTCTCAGTCCATTACTCGGCAACTACGGTGCAAGGCCGATACTGTAGAAACTTGCATTTTGTACCCTTGACCTGACCTTGACCTGACCTCTGACCTACTTAAGCAAAACAAATGGGCTTTTAAGATCCGCCTTGTTGAGAGCTTTCGATTGCCGTTTTCCCAGTCTTTCTACGACCATCGGTTCGGAAGTTAGACAGGGGGGGGGGCGGAATCTGCCCCCCCCCCCCAGCAGGGCGCGTATGAATAGCCCAGCGGGGCGCGGGTTAATATCATAATATGAATTTTAATAGAACCGTCCGGAGTCGGAGTCTGAGTCGCGTTCGATTTTTGAAGCCGGAGTCGGAGTCGGAGTCACCCTACAATCCATCGACTTCGCAACCCTGTCCGATCGACCGCCTCCCGGCTGTGAAACGTTTAAACGTTAGCGGCTGTGAAAAAGCCAGCACGAGCGAGGGTTAAGCACTAAAATTATCATATTACAGTTTCCTATAATGCAGTAGCGGCGGAACACCTTCAATGAAGGGGGGGGGGCACTGCCGACTTTTGGTCCCATTCTTTCCATGCAACGCCCATAGGGCTAATGTTGAAATGCCAAAATCAAAAGGGGGGCACGGTGCCCCGGTGCCCTCCCCGTTCCGCCGCCTATGCTTTAATGTTGTGCAAGTGCAATCAGTCATTCAGTGTTGACCTATATCTGGACGAATCTTGCTCTACTTGAACCGTCTAAATTTTACAGACCTTAAGTTGCCTGTTATTTCAACAAATATCCGCCAAAATGACCTAATGTGAGATTTGGAGCTTCTGGTTTTCAGCCAAAGCACTGGGCATAAAAGTAAAAAAGGTATCGGGGATATACATTTACCTACATATGACGACGGTTGAAATAAAATATATATCTTTTTGCGATTCGATAAGTAGTCGTTTTATATCAATATAAACGGCTCGCAATAGGTCTCGGGCCTCGATTTAAAACTATTGAACACAATAAATGCAATAGCCAGCAGGCAGCAGCCACACTAACCAGGCTCACACTAACAAGTAACAACAATAGGTAGGTGAACCTTTTCACGACACCCCTGATCACGATGTGCTCATTGTTCACCGTAGATTATGTAACACCTAGGGGAGGGACGTCAACGTAGCCTCCCAATCCGGCCCCTGCGAAATGTCGAATGGGCGACCCGCATACCAGTTCCCGCATAGGTGAGTTATGTAACACAGGGTAATTATGGGCGTAAGCACGGATAATGTATCGGCCTTTAGGTATCGGCATAATCACGGTGAGCTGAACATTCGTATTAGCTCACAATAAATTATACATGTCTCTGTTGCACGCGTAACAAAACTCCAACATTCTCACGCCTCTACCCTTCCCCTTTTCGTCGGTACTCACCGTCAGAGATGTCTCACGTGGTCCCGTCGATGTCGACAGCTCGCTCGCGGTCGTCCGGTGGGCCCCTTGCGCTCCGATCCGCGACTGGCGGTCCCGTGCGCGGCGGGAGGCGAAGCGAGCATCACACCCGGCGGCCAACGAAGGACGGTGGTAGAGTGGCGGGTTTCGAGGCCACGCGCCCGGTCGGCGAGAGCTCGTAAGTGCTGATATGAAGATAAGGGAAGGGAGCTCCGTCTGTAATATCCATATTAAGCTCTTTGATTCTATCCCTAACCTCATCCACTCAACCTGCAGAAGCTACGGCTAGGGACCTAAAGCTATGCTTCATCAACGGCCCTGACGTGTTTGAATTCCGCCACTCTGACTCTTTATCAGACCGTCCAGCTAGCTCCCTGTTCACCGTCCAACGACGGCAGGCCAGGTGAGCTCTTTGATGTCGTGTATGATAGCATAAGTAGCAACATGAGTAGAACATGCAGCTCTAGTAACGCTCGCCAGCCCAGCCCCGAGGGGGCCGAAAGGGGTGTCGCAGTGGCCCCGTCGACCACTCCCCGACCGGCCCCGCCCCTCCCCTACAGACCAAACATGCCACGGTCCCCCGCAGCCCGGCTCAAGGTCACGAGGGCTGACGGGCCATTGCCGGTGGCTCCCGTACACGGCCTCTGGAGCTGGGGATGGGGGAGGGGTGGGGTTATCGACCCGGTGGCCCTCAGCAAACAGCTGATTGACGCACTGACAATGAACCGGGACCGGTGAAAGAGGTCTGATACACGGGAGGGCGTCGGCAGGAAACGATGTGCAGATAAGGAAAACAAAAACGTCACCGTTTATTCATTTATTCGGCGTGAGTGTTGCGCCTAAACGGTTCGCTTAGCCACCGGGCTCGGCTCACCGAAGCTTTGCGGCGAGCATTCACAATGAATGGTTGTGTTAGAATGTATTGCTATATTCTAGGTCAAAGGCAGGGATCGAGCGTATTGCACATCAGCACACGCTCTAAACATTGCACGTTACACTACGCTATAGAAAAATGCCCGAGACAAGACACCATTCACTCGTCATGCTATTCTCACATGATGAAGGCTTCTTTTTGGGAGGGCAATACCACGATATGCAAGGGAAAATAACGCTGCGGTAAATTCTCAAAACATGGTATAGATAATTGACACCAAAACCTTTTACCGTACGTACACCTATAGCACACTTTATGTACACAAAGTAGCACTTGCGGGCATCAGATCTATGAGCGATGTTGCACCAAACAGAGGACGAGGGACACAACAGGCAATCAATAGGCAGATATAGTCCATAACACATTCCTAGCGGGTATTATCGTCAAGCACTGCCATAGGGTCTGTAAGAAAAGATGTGCCGAGCTTCAGTACGTACCTCGAAGCCGTCCAGTGGTACCTCTTATCAGCCTCGCTGTCAAAGCAGCGCCAGGCAGAGCGGTACGTTGCATATCCATTTGTACTGAAGAACGAAAACAGAGCTGATTTAGACCTCGCCCTCATGGCTCGCCCTAGCTGGATCGGAAAGTACCCACATTGACCGTCCAGCCGACGCTCCGCTGGCGGTGCGGGCGCATAGTGTCGCCCTCTGCGCGGCTCGGTACCGTCACAGGTGGCGCTGTCGTCACTCGGCGCTCCCACAGGTGGTGCTGCGATCGCTCAGGGCTGCCTGTGGCGGCGCCACGACCTGTCGGCGGTACGCCGCTGGCGGCTGTGGCGGTGACGACGACCGGCGGCCGATGGCCGGTGCGGGAGTCTGCCCTGCCTCCTGCTCCCCTGCCCGCCAGCAGGAGGGCACGGCTCGTCGAGTGTCGAGGCGCTGCCGACGGGCAGTGGTGTCTCGGCGGCCGGCTCGGCGGTCAGTAGGTCCAGCACAGGGTACCGAGGCTCGGCCTGTATGTCCAGGTGGGCGTCCTGGGCGACCTTGACCAGCACACCCGGCACCGGGCTGCTGGTCACTGCAGGACACAGAGGGAGAGGCTGCATCAGGGACGCCGGCACACGACACTGTTCCCGGTAGACAGATAGACAGTGTCCCCGCAGTCATTGCAGGGACGTCACAGACCAGAGACAGCTGGACAGAAACGTTAACGGGATCAGATACAGTAACTATCGGGTACAGTAACTCCATATATGGGATCAGCCAGAACTCGCTGCTCTCAGTCCCAGCTATCCTTCCCGGGGAGAAGAGGGGGCACTCACCAGCCACGTCACAATCCATGCCCTGTAGGAAGGCGCGGGGCGGCAGCTGCCGGCCGGCCGTGTCCTGCACAGTCAGCAGGAAGCCCCAGCTGTCGGCTCCCAGCTGCCAGGCACGCACCGCCGAGCGAACGTCGAACGTCAGCCAGCCGTGCCGAGAGGGGGCCACCGTCAGACTGTCGACTAGCCGCGGGCCGACCGAGGGGCCGGGAGGGCCGACTGGGGTTCCTAGAGGGAGGAGGGGGCCACCGTCAGACTGTCGACTAGCCGCGGGTCGGCCGAGGGGCCGGGAGGGCCAGCTGGGTTCCAGAGAGAGGAGGGAGAGATGAGAGTAGATCAGTAGAGACTCAAGTCAGTCATGCTGTTCACTAGCTGTGGGCCTTCCGAGGGGCTGGGGGACCTCCAGGGATGGAGGAGGAACACAGTCAGATTACCTCCTGAAAACAGGGGGACACGGCTCCCGTCGAACTATTTATTAGCCTTGGCTCTCACTAGGGGCAAGAGGAGAGAGGGAGAGAGATCCTGGAGAGCGGGAGGCCGGAGGGGTCTTAGAGAACGAAAGGTGGGTGGGCTCTGGAACCCGTCAGGACCTGGATGGCTTCAGGATGAGATCAGCACACCGTCATTGTAATGGCTACTCGACGGTGATTCATGAGCTCCCGTGGTGTGGTATATAATGACTATTGTGATCTATTAGGTCCCTCTCTCCAGGGGTGTAATTTTATATCTCTTTGTGGGGGCAGATGCACCCACAATCCTGAAATATGCCCCCACAGTGATGAAAATGCACCCACAAGTTTTATGTTACAAGCGCCCTTTCGTTCGAGAGCACGGCCCCCTTCGCATGCTCTAACGGCGTCCTCCTGACAGCCTCGCGTTCCTGGATAATATAGCGTTTTTAATCATTCACTCGGCGCCCTTCTGGGAGAATGGCGCCCTTTTGACAGCACTGCGCCCTTCTCATGGTCTAACGGCGCCCTCCTGACCGTCTCGCGCCCTTATGTCTCTGTCCACCGTGCATCCCTCGACTGTTCGGCGCCCTTCTGGCCTCTCAGCGCCCCTAGACCATGTAACGTTTTTAATAGCTTGACGCCCTTCTGGGAGAGTGGCTTATGGTCTCACGGCGTCCTCGTAACCTTCTGGCGCCCCTACATACGTCCCCACCAACTTAGCGCTACTGGCTGTTTGGCGCCCTTCTGGCTTCTCAGAGCTCTTGGACCATGTATCCTTTTCAATCCCTCGGCGCCCTTTTAGGAGAATGACGCCCTTTTCATGGTCTCACGGCGCCCTTGCAACCATCTGGCGCCCCGTCCCCACCAACTTAGCGTTACTGACTGTGCGGCGCCCTTCTGACCTCTCTGCGCCCCTGGATCATATATAATTTTTAATCACTTGGCGCCCTTCTGGGAGAATGGCGCCCTTGTCATGGTCTCTCGGCGCCCTTGTAACCTTCTGGCGCCCCTACGTCCCCTAAGCGTCCTGGCGCCCCTACAGCTGGGCACCCACAATCATTTTGGGAAAATTACACCCCTGCTTCTCTCTCCTCTCTCTCTCTCTCTCTCTCTCTCTCTCTCTCTCTCTCTCTCTCTCTCTCTCTCTCTCTCTCAAAATCCTATTTAGACATCAAGCTACATGAGACTTGAGTTATGCAACTCACTTGACCACGGATTAACGTCATTCGTGACGTCATCAGACCAGGGAGTGACGCCAGCGGACCATGGTGTGACGTCACCTCCTTGATCCCAAGGAGAGACGTCGCCTCCGTCGTTCCAGGACGAATCGTGCGTCTGGTCTGAGTCGTTGGAGGCATATGCGTGGAGGGAGACTCGCACCGTCTGTTCTTCTCCAACCTGAGGCACGGAAACGAAATACTTTCGTTAAAATAGTCATAGGTACATAAACAGGAACATCGCCGAGGTTAAGCTACTAAAACATCACCGTCACAGTCATCGACGTTTAAACGTCAACCAACATTAAAACACCACATGTGTATGTGTGTACATACGGTCCAGGAAGTTTAGAATCTCGGGGCCTTCTCGGCCTCGAGTAGCGATCGGACACTGCACCGCTATACATAGACCTGCACTATTCGTCCGCCAAGCAGTCGTTGTATAGTGTTTATTATCGCGTGAAGCCGGTGTCTGGCTGCGCAGTCTGTTCCGGTCGGTTCGACTGCGTGGCCAGGGTCTAGTCGACTCACAGAGGCAGCTCGGCGACTGTCGAGTCGAACACGAGCCCCGGCCTCAGTGATACGGTGTAGGAATGTGTGTGTAATACCGATACTTTGGTCCTTACAACGGCGGCGATCTAGCGCGTGAGGAGGTGATCACCAGCTATCCTGTGACGGGATACTCGAGGTCGAGATGTACTCACGTAGACCCACGAGCGGAGTTACGATCACAATACACTTCCGCTTTACACTTAAATTACAATGATTTTTAATGGCCATGAGTTGGGCGTGTTCGTACACCCGCTTACCTGTGGGTGTGGTGGCTATATTCATGGTGTAAGTTCCAAGAACTGGGATGCTGTATGTTAGTTGATGATGCTATGCTGCTATAGCTTCCGTGTGCGTAGCTAACATGAGAACTATTTAGGTACATTTGAGGAGGACTATTAGGACTATATGTTTTCCAAGTCCACACCGAAGTATTTGCCTATTACGGACGAATTAATGTGTTTCGTCCGTGAGATCATGCAGCTAACTTCTGGCCTTTTACATACGCTCACCTTTACCGTGAAAACTTGTCACTTTATCCCTAAAGAAAAGGCATAGGTCAAGTTTATAAATTCAGGTCTGATCATCTTACCGGTGCGGCCAGTTTGTAGACCCGGAGAGTGGCCTGCTCTATGGTGACGTCATCGGGCACCGAGGGCAGAAATGACGTCAGGTTGAAATAGACGTCCATAGAGGGCGATGAACGGTCAGAG